CAAGTGTTAAAGGCCCCTGCACCACAGAGCAGGAAAGGAGGGGCTGAGCAGGGAGGTGGGAGTAGAGCCCCGAATGCCCAGGGGTCACCAGGACCCCGTGTGGTTCTTGGGATTTGGGGTGTTGGTGGTTTGAGTGTGTCTGTGGAGATCTCACCTGTGTGCTGAATATGGGAGAGCCTTTGAATTTACCTCAAATTCTTTCTATAAACTTGATAAAATGAAGTGCTGTCCCTTGAACTTCAATTTCCTCATCTGTGAAATAGGAATTATCATCTTTTCCTCCAGCGCAGTAAGAGCCTTGACCCTGTTTTCTGGCCCTGGTGCGACAGGGTTCTGCTCTGTTGTCCTGTGAAAGGTGTGTGTGTATGTGTGTGTGTGTGTGTGTGTGTGTGTGTGAGAGAGAGAGAGAGAGAGACAGGGTTCTGCTCTGTTGTCCTGTGAAAGGTGTGTGTGTGTGTGTGTGTGTGTGTGTGTGTTGGGGTATGGTCAATTACAGGTAGGTGAGGAAGCCTCCAAACTGGTGAGTGCTAGAATATAGAGCAATCCTGGACTCTTCCGACTCATTTCTTCTCCAGCTCAGTCTTCCCTGTACTCAGCCTCTCCTCAAAAAGGATGCACAGAGGAGGAAGGGTTGGTTCATGGCTTCCTGACAAGCTGGTTACCGGTGAGTCACATATTTTTTTCCCAAATAATTATTCTTTTGACCAAAAGTTGGACTTACCTTTCAGGGCCTGGAGCCCCACAGCCAAACCAGGTCTTCAGGCATTCCAGGATCTCCGGGCATCTGGTGGTGGATAAAGGGTTGTCAGTGTTTATCAACATTTTCTATATTTTCCTAACTTCCTCCAGAGTCACTTTATACATTACATTATTATTAGTTTTAAAGGAAAGACATGACTGTGTCCTATATTCAAGCAATTGGTGATGGCCACTGGGGAGTATCTCTGACATCTGCCATGTCCCCGGCCTATGCTCAGCCCTGAGATCGAGGGAAATAAGACTGCAGGATTCCACGGTCTCACTGGAATAAGGGACTCACCTACATGTTAAAGGTACATTTCACCTTGGGAGTGGGCGTTAGTAGGCAGGAGAGGAGCCCTGCAGGCTGAGCCCAGGAGCAGTGGAGAGCAGAGCTCACAACCCTGCCCATACATCTTGTGCTTGGGGTTTCCTGTCCCTAGTCCTGTCATCCTCCTATCAACTTGGTGGGGGTGGTCCTTGGCTAAGCCATGATGCTTGTGACGGCTCAGGACTTGGTGACCTTCGAGGATGTGGCCGTGGAGTTCACGCAGGAGGAGTGGGCACTGCTGGACCCTTCTCAAAGAACACTGTACAGAGACGTGATGCGGGAGAACTGCAGGAACCTGGCATCGCTGGATAAGCCCCACCTCAGCCCTGCATTTATTTAATGACTCAGGTAATAAGTCTTTTCTTTTTTTAATTCATGTGACATTCACAGAACAGAAAACATTTTTAATGTATAATTCAGTGATTTTTAGTAATGCCACAGTGTTGTGCAACCATCTCTAATTCCAGAACATTTATTGCACCAAAAATAAACCCTATAATCATTAAGTAGCCACTCCCTTTCCCACCTACTCCAGCCACTGGCTACCGTGGATCTACTCTCTGTCTCTGGTTTTACCTGTTCTGGACATTGCATATAAATGGAATCATACAATATATAGCCTTTTGTATCTGACTTCTTTTGCTTAGAATAAAGTTTTCAAGTTTCAGCCATGCTGTAGCATGTGTCGAACTTTATTCCTTTTTCTGGCTGAACGTTATTCCATGGTGTGTATATACCACTTTCTCTGTGCCCACTCATCAGTCGATGAACATTTGAGTTGTTTCCACCTTTTGGCTACTGTGAAGAGTGCTGTGCTCTGCTATGAACATTCATGTATGTTTTTGCCTGAACATTTGTTTTCAGTTCTCTTGTACGTTTGCCTAGAAGTGGGATTCCTGGGTCATATGGTCATTTAATGTTTAACTTTTTTTTTTTTTTTTTTAAAGATTTTATTTATTTATTTGAGAGAGAGAGAATGAGAGACAGAGAGCATGAGAGGGAGGAAGGTCAGAGGGAGAAGCAGACTCCCTGCCGAGCAGGGAGCCCGATGCGGGACTCGATCCAGGGACTCCAGGATCATGACCTGAGCCGAAGGCAGTCGCTTAACCAACTGAGCCACCCAGGCGCCCTAATGTTTAACTTTTTGAGGAACCTCCAAACTTTTCTCCATGGTACCTGTGCACCATTTACATTCCCACCAACAATGTGGGAACACTTGGTTATTTGCATTTCCCTAAAGAATAATAAGATGGGTCCTCTTTCCATGTGCTTGTTAGCCATTTGTATATCTTCTTTGGGAAAATGTGTATTTGAGACCTTTGCCCACTTTGAGAGGGCTGGGGTTGTTTGCCTTTTTATTGTCGAGTTGTAAGAATTCTTTATATATTCAGGATGCTGGACCCTCATCAAATAGATGATTTGCAAATATTTTCTCCCATTCTATGGATTGTCTTCTCACTTTCTTGAAGGATAGTTTTGCTGCATATAGAATTAATGAATGACAGAGGTTTTTTCCTTTCAGCACTCTGAATATGTCATCCCACTACTTTTTGGCCTCTGTGATTTCTGATGTGAAATCAGCTGTTAATCTGATTGATGGTGATCCCATATATGTGATGAACTAAAAATTCTCTTGTTGCTTTCAGGATACTCTCTTAGTCTTTAGCTTTCAACAGTTTGATTATAATGTGTCTCAATTTGGTCTCCTTGAGTTTATCCTCCGGTGTTCATTAAGTTTCTTGGATATGTAGATTCATGACTCTCTTCAGTTTGGGGAATTTTTTGGCCATCTATCTTTTTAAAATATTGTTTCTGTCCCTTTCTCCATCTCCTCTCCTTCAAGAACTCCATTATGCACATGTTGGTTGTTTGATGGTGTCCCACAGGTTTCTTATGCTCTGTTCTTTTTTTTTTCCCCCTCTATGCTCTTCAAATTGGGCAATCTCAATTGACCTGTCTTCAAGTTCACTGATTCTTTCTTCCACCAGATCAAGTTTGATGATAAACTTTTCTAGTGAATGTTTCATTTTAATTTATTGTACTTTCCACTCCAAAATTTCTGTTTGGTTCTGTTTTATAATTTCTTTCACTATTTGTTGAGAATCCTTTTTCATGGTTTCCTTTAGCTCTTTGCACATTCTTAAAATAGTTGAAATCTTGGTCTAGGGGTGCCTGGGTGGCTCAGTCGTTAAGCATCTGCCTTCGGCTCAGGTCATGATCCCAGGGTCCTGGGATTGGGCCCCACATTGGGCTCCCTGCTCAGCAGGAAGCCTGCTTCTCCCTCTCCCAGTCCCCCTGCTTGTGTTCCCTCTCTCACTGTGTCTCTCTCTGTCAAATAAATAAAATCTTTAAAAAAAAAAAGAAGAAATCTTGGTCTAGTAAGTCTCTTCCTCAGGGACAGTGTTTCTTAATTTCCTTTTTCTGTAATGGTCATGCTTTTTTGTTTCTTTGCATGCCTCATAATTTGTTGAAAACTCCAAAAACGTTTGGAATGTTAGGACAGTTCTGTAAGTCAGAGATTCTCCTATCCCCAAGGTTTATTGTTGTTGCTTGTTCTAGTTAGTATTGTTTGGTGACATTTTCTGAACTAATTTTGTAATGTCTGTATTTGTCATGTGTGGCCACTGCAATCTCTATTTTGTTAAGTTAACGGTCAGCTAGTGATTTATCAGAGGTTTCCTTAAATGCCTGGAACTCCAAAACTCCCAGTCTTTGCAGATGGTCTCTGTGTATATAGGAGCATGCCTTCAAAACTCAAACAGTTTACAACTCTGCCTTAGCCTTCACTTACTGCTTGTGTAGAGCCTGAAGGTCAGTCAAAGGTGAAGGCTTAGTGCCTTTTCAGATATTTTCTGAGCGTACACCCAACCGTGGGTATGTACATGTTCTATATTCCTAGGACTGTGGGAGCTTTTCAAAGCCCCTTTCCCCCAAAGCATCTTGTTCCCTGCTTTTCCTCTGAGACTTTTTGGCTAGTCTTATGTGTGCTTTAGTGATTTTCCCTTGCCCCAAGCAGCAGTAGCTAATACATTTAAATGTAGTCAGTACATGCCCCAGCCCTCCGCCCCCATAGCCACTTCAATTCCGGGAGAATTTGGAGTTAAACGAAATAAAGGCAAGCCCTGTGAGCCAGTCCTTCTGGGAGCCACCAGGAAGGTCAAAACAGACAATCACACTTCTTTGAAAATAAGATTTGTCCTACTTCTACCAGTACTAAGAGCACAGATTGTTGTCTTCAAAATGCTTGCTTGGGTGGGACGGAGGATAGGGTGAGGATCAGCTAAAATGTCACAAAGCTCTCTTACAGATTCAGCTGTTTGTCTTGATTAAGCATTTTCCTGGTTGCTGTAAGCTCTTGATCACTTCCTAGAGTTTTAGTAATTCAGTTTTTACCTGTTAATTTGCTTTTTTTTTTTTTTTTTTTTGTGGAGGTTAGACTTTAGAGTTCCCGACTCCACCATTTTTGCTGACATCACTTCTCAGAAGTCTTTCTTGAGCACCTTTGTGTTCCTAGGCCTGTGCTAGGAATTGGGAATACAGTGGTGAACAAGACAGATGTGGTCCCTACCATCATGGAGCTTACACTCTAATGCCTGCCCTATGAACTGAAGATCTAGTCCTGGCCCTGACTTTATATTCTCTATGCATAAAAGTTTTGGAGCTTTTAAATATGTATTTGAGCTTGGGTATTAGTTTCTGGTACTAGTTATTCCCCCAGGCACCATGGGTATTGACTGAGGATACTTTCATTTTTTTTTTTTCACTATGAAAGAGAGCTACTATATTTATTAGAATTTAGGGATAATTATCCCATTGTTCCTAAAGCCACACCTGCTTATCTTCAGAAGTAGGGGCTTCAGTTTCATGGTGGGGCTCATTTTCCCCTGTAGAGTCCCCCTACATACTATGTCCTTTCTTTATGTATAGGAAATCAAGTTGATAAACCTGGTCTGGTGTCTGAATTGGAGCAAGAAGATAAAGTGATTACAGAGGAAATCAGAATTCTCCCAGGCAACTGTCCAGGTGAGCACCAGGTAGATTGTGAGTCCTTGTGAGGAACATGTCTGGCCTGTGGCTTGGGAGTTTGGAGTATTACATTAGGAAATGTCACTCAGGGAACTTTGTAAAATGCCCTTTTTTTTTCCTGACAAGATCAAAAGCATTTAGGATAAGCTTCCTTGTGTACCTTCTTTGCTTCCTCTTAAATTCTCTGTTCATCACTTCACACTTTACTTCAGCCTTAGAGGAAGAAAAAAGACATGTCTCTTTTTCTTCTTAAATGTAAGTTTCACGTGAGCTCCATCCCACTTTACATTCCTGACGATTCCTTCTTCTGTCAGCCTCAATCTCAATCTTCCTAGAGTCTTTTAAAAATACCTAAAATTGGGGCACCTGGGTGGCTCAGTCGGTTAAGCGTCTGCCTTCGGTTCAGGCTTTGTGTTCTTTCTCGCTATCTCTGTTGCTATCTCTCTTTCTCTGAAATAAATACAATCTTTTAAAAATACCTAAAATTGTCATACCTGTGTCCCTTTCATTGCAAACCTCCTGAAAAACGCTAATCCTTTAAGGTCTGTCTTCAGTAATATGTGCATTTTATCTTTTATTTTCTCCACAAACTTAAACTTCTTTTCAATTTGTTTCAGATTTGGAGACTCTACTTAAAGCCAAAGGGTTAACTTCTAAGTAGCATGTTTTTAGAAAAGAACAATATGAAGGTGTAAAAATGGTAAGATTTCTAATTTTCCACAGTAGGAATATGCCATAAATTAGAAAAACTACAAAGTTACCAAGAGAGTCATTCTCCCAAGAGAAAGTGGCCTCTGAAGAGATACCATGAAACTATTGTGAATTTGGAGAAAAATGATTTCACAGTTATTTCTTCTCTGAGCATCTCCATAATTGTTTCCATAAATGTGACTCAGATATTAAAGATTTCAAACATAAACTGGTGTTAAACCTATCAGAAAACTGTTCTCTGAATATGATAAAGACTTGTGGCACCACAGCCATCTTTTTTAACTTCTAATCACTCAAACTAGCATAAAGCCTATACAAACACTCAAAGTAGCAAAAATGCCAAATTATAATGTTATACATAACAGAATTCCTGGGAGAGAGAATTCCTACGATAGCACTGAATATTAAAAATACTATAAATTATAGTTATCATTCATCTCTTAATCAACAGGAAAGAAATCATCTTGGAGTGAAACTCAACAAATGTAATCAGTGCTTTAAAATCTTCAGCACAAAATCTAACCTCACTCAGCACAAGAGAATTCATACTGGAGAAAAACCCTATGTCTGTAATCAGTGTGGCAAATCCTTCAGCAGTAGTTCTTACTTGACTGTTCATAAGAGAATACATAATGGGGAGAAACCCTGTGAATGCACTGACTGCAGGAAAGCCTTCAGTAATCCCTCTTCCCTTAGACTGCACGTGAGAATTCACACTGGAGAAAAACCTTACAAATGTAATCAGTGTTTTCATGTCTTCCGTACTAGATGTATCCTCAACAGGTACAAGAGAGTTCATACTGGGGAGAATCATTATGAATGTAATCAGTGTGGCAAGGCCTTCAGCACAAGGTCTTCCCTTACCGTGCACAACAGAATTCATACAGGGGAGAAACCTTATGAGTGCCACGATTGTGGGAAAGCCTTTAGGAAGAGCTCACATCTGACCCAGCACGTGAGAACTCATACTGGAGAAAAACCCTATGAGTGTGATCAGTGTGGAAAATCCTTCAGCAGTAGTTTTTCTCACTGTGCACAAGAGAATACATAATGGAGAGAAACCCTATGAATGTAGTGACTGTGGGAAAGCGTTTAATAATCTCTCATCTGTTAAGAAACACGTGAGAACTCACACTGGAGAAAAACCCTACGAATGTAATCATTGTGGGAAATCTTTCAGCAGTAACTCTTACCTTTCTGTGCACAAGAGAATTCATAATAGGTAGATAGGAATGCAGTGACTATGGGAAAGCATTCATTGGTTTCTCATCCCTCTGACATCTTGGGAACTCATGCTGGATGTAGAAATTATCTTTGCATAACAAATTAGCCCCAAAACTTAGTGCTTTAAAGCAACAAACATTTATTATCTCACAATTTATGTAGGTCAGGGGTTCAGAAATGGATTAGCTATGTCTTTCTGGTTCTAGTTCCCTCACGAGGTTGCAACCAATATGTTGACCAGAACTGCAGTCACCTAAAGTCTTTAGGACTGACGGGTCCACTTTGAAGATTGATTATTCACATTGCTGACAAACTAGTGCCAGTTGTTGGCATGGGACCTGTGGTTCCTTGCCATGTAGGCCTCTCTGCAGTGATGAGTGTCTTTATAATATGGCAGCAAGTTCTCCCCAAATAATGTGATCCAAAAGAGCCAATGCAGAAGCCATAATGTCTTTTATGACCTAGCCGCAGGATATATTCTCTTCATCTGTATTGTGTTGGTCACCCACACTGGTTCTGACAGTGTGGGAGGAAACTACACAAGATATGGATACAAGGAGACAGAAAACACTGGGAACCATCTTGGAGATCGATCATGACTCAGTGAAGAAAAGCTATCAGCAGATCCTCCTTCTAATCCAGTCAATATGGAATACCATTCAATAGCCCAAATGTTAACTCACTGTGGAGAGAAACCCTATAAGTGCCGACTTTGCGGTAAAACTTTTACCTCAAACTCTCACAGAAGTAAAAAAAATTACCAACTGGGGAGAAACAGGAGGAATGCATTGGCTAAAGGAAAGCCTTTCGTGGTATCTTGTGAATCACATGAAATTCACACGAAGGGAAAACCCTATGAATATCATCAAAATGGAAAACTCTTCAGAAGACACTCATCCTTTAAGACATACATAAGAAATCACACTGTACAGGAACACTGTATATAAGGAATATGGAAGGAAACAATTGGCACTCTCCGCTCTACTTTACTCTCCCCTGCTCTGTGCCTCAAGAGGTTAATAGACTATATCAGTGGGCTCATATATCTCAGGCTTCTGTTTGGGTTGGTCAGTGGGGAGCCCAGGTGGGAGATCAGAGGGATAGAGGAGAGTGAGTCCACCCCACAGCATATCCCTGCAGGAGAATTGGGTTCTGGATGCTACACTTGGCCACTTTTCAGTCCCTGTAGTGCAGCCCTCTCCCCTCTTCCTACCATGCCCCAAATTTTCAATAATCACTCCCTCCTCTGTCCTCTCCTTCCTTGTTCTTCTTCCAGTCATTGAATATGCACTATCCCTTTTTTGTTTCCCTACACCCTGCCTGCAATTGTTCTGGTATAGTGATACACCAATGTACTGAGAATATAATGAAAGGTCTTTACCATTTTCTACAAGGCCCCAAACAATTCAGATCCACTGCAGAGCCGACCTCACCTTCCACCATTCCTGTTTACTTCCTACACTATAGTTGCGCTGGTCTTGCTGTAGCCCCATCATCCCAGCACAGTTCAATATCAGGGTCTCTGTAATGCCTAGACTGATATTCCCAACATAGCTACATAGCTCACTCGCTCAGTTTACTTAGGTTTCTGCCAAAATGTCACTTGAATTGAAAGGCTTTCATTCCCACTCCAAATATATGAGCAAGTCTCCAGTTCCCATGTTTATTATCTTTATTGGGAGTTATTCATCTCAATAGCACTTACCACCATCTGACTGACTCTATATATACCTCTTTATTTGACTAATATTTATTCCCCATCCCAACCCCCACTATGTTGTGAACACCATGAAAGCAAGGACTGTGTGTTTGATTTATCACTGTAGATCCTGTACCATAGCCACGCCTGGTACAGAGACAGTGTTCTATTGCATAGCAATTAGGAGTATGGACTCTGGAGAGAAACTATTTGAGTTCAAGTCCAGACCCTACTGCTTAATCACCTGCTTACCTCAGGCAAGTAACAAACACTTTGTGCCAGTTTTTTCATTTATAAAATGCTAACGAGAGTGCCTACTTTGTAAACTTGTATTGAAGGTTCAATTAATTAATATATGTAAAGCACTTGGGAGACTGCCTGGTATATAGGAAACGCTATATATATATTTCATTTTTTATTGTGAATTAATTAAAATTAATTGTAGGATTATACCAAGCAAAACAAGCCAGACACAAAAACGTAAATACTGTATGATTCTATTTACATAGATTTCTAGAACAGGCAGAAAATAATCTGGAGGGGGGTGGAGAACAGGGGTTGCAACTAAGTGTGAGGCAAGGGATGTGAGGCAGTAGCTTGGATTGACTGGGAAAGGACAAGAAGGAACTTCACAGGGTGAGAAAATGTTTTATGTCTTGATAGGAGTATAAGTTACACAGATATATTTATTTGGCAGGATGCATCAAACTGTACACTTAAGATCTGTACATTGCACTGCATGTAAGTTATGCCTCAATTTAAAACTCAATTCGCTAAGTGAAAGAGACAAAAAGCCACATGTTGTATGATTCCGTTGTATGACATTCTGGAAAAGACAACCTGTGGGGAAGGACAAATCAGTAGTTGCTAGGGATAAGAGGTAGAAGATAGGATAACTACAAAGGCATAGCACAAGGGAATTCAGGAGTTTTGGTACTATCCTATAGCATGACAAATCTCTCTGTATTTTTTCAAAACTTACGGAACATTAAACCACAAAGAGTGAATATTATTATCGGTTAAAACAAAATACAATCACGAGGTAGCAGAGGTAACACAGAATGGAATACAGACTATAACAAATGAACTTAACTGTATTACAAATGAATATCATAACCACACTGAAGAGGATGGAGAAGAAACCTAACTTACTTAGGAAAACTGTATTTTGACCAGATACTATAAGGCTAAAAGCAAAAAGAACTGTACAGAAATCCTGTACTAGAGTTAATAAATTTGTTTCTCTCAAGGGTATGGGTTGGCAATTCTGAACCACTTTATGTATATACTAGGGTTGGACAACTAAGTATATATGTTGTAGATCCTTAAAGCCAGTTTCTTGCTCTCAGAGACGTTACAAACAAGGAAAGAGAAAGGCTAGAGTGGACCCTGTGGTGTTGGATTGGAATTGGAGATAGAAGTAAGAACTTGGGGTTTCTTGAAAGATGATGATAGATACGTACATAGATACATAACTAGATAAGCACAGAGGTATGCATATGCCTGAAGTGGAGTACATACATATATTTTCAACCTCTGTCAACAGAGAAGAAGACCTAGAAGCGGTGGCACTTCAGTAGCAATGAGTACACCTGGCACCTAGATCTAGGTTTGTAAATGCCATTCTCAAAAAAAGGGGATGGTAACCAGGGCTCCTTGGAGAAGTGGTTAATTCCAGGGCTAGGGCAGAGAAAATATAAAATGATCCTGGAATAGCTTGCAATGCCATAAAGTAAAGTAAAGAAATGCTCAAAAGGTGCTGGGTGCTTGTTGAAAAAACACAGGTGCCAACCTAAATGCTCTTTTAATAGAGAAGGAAGAGTCCCAGGGAGGTCCAAAAAACCTGCCTAAATATTTCCTTCGGGTCTTTGAAAAACACTTAACCTGTAACTACGCAGGAAAAGTCACTAGGAGGCTTAGCCAAGAATAGCTACTGAAAGGTGAAGAGTGGCACAGAAATTTAAGAGGACACACATTCTAGGAATTGGAGTTGGTTTTTGGACTCATCCACAGTGGAGTGATCTTGGGGAAAACCCATTTCAACCAATACCCTAGAAATGCCACACCATGATATGTACCATGCACTAAGAGGGAAAGATACACCTTAGGAGTAAGTGCAAAATTGAAATAAACCTGCCCTTACAAAATTTAAAAACTCGAGGTGATACATTAGTCTATAACTGCCTGCCATTACAAAACTTAATCATTAGAAGAATAATCAAGAGCCTCTACAACGTATCATTAACAATGTCCAGCACACAATAAAAAAATACTAGACATGCAAAGAAACAGGAGAAGGTACCAATTATGAATGTGTAAGTCAATAGAGGCTGACCCAGAAACAATCCAGGTATTGGAGTCAGCAGACAAGGACTTCAAAATAATTATGAAAAATATGTTTTTTTAAATGAAGGAAATGGGCACCTGTGTGGCTCAGTCAGTTGAGCATCCAACTCTTGGTTTCAGTTCAAGTAATGATCTTGGGGTTGTGGGATCGAGCCCCACATCAGCCACTGTGCTCAGCATGGAGTCTGCTTCAGATTCCCCCTCCCCTTCCCTACCGCTCACTCTATCTCTCACATAAATAAATAAAATCTTTTTTAAAATAAATAAAAAATAAAAATGAAGGAAACATTGACAAATTGTGGAAAACTGAAAGCAAACTGCAAAGCTTCAAAGCAACCAAAGGAACACATTACTTTCAAAAGAGAATAAGACTAATGATGACTTTTTTAAAGAAACCAAAGAAACAGGAAGACAGTAAATGACATCTAAAGGATTAGATTGAAAAAAAAAAAAAGCTCAGTCTAAAATTGTATAACTTGACAAAATGTTCTTCAAAAGTGAAGATGAAATGAAAATGTTTACCAGTGGATTTTTTTAAGAGCTGAAAGAACTAATCAACAGCTGCACTTCAAGACACACTAAAATGAGTTCTTTGGGCTGAAGGAAAATCATTCCATGTGGAGACCTATGGATGTAGATCAATAGGAAACATAAATGTGAGTAAAAACAAATAATAACTGACTATTTAAAAAAAAAAAAACCTGTATAGTTTTAGAATTTTCTTGGAAATCTAAAATTTTTCTGAATAAAAAAGGTTTTAGGGGGCACCTGGGTGGCTCAGTTGGTTAAGCAACTGCTTTCAGCTCAGGTCATGATCCTGGAGTCCCAGGATCGAGTCCCGCATCGGGCTCCCTGCTCAGTGGGGAGTCTGCTTCTCCCTCTGACCCTCCCCCCTCTCATGCTCTCTCTCTCTCAAATAAATAAATAAAATATTTAAAAAAAAAAAAGGTTTTAGAAATTGTTGAACTGATTCCCCTCATAGAGATGATGGAAGGCACAGCAAGTGACCCCCCAGTCTGTCCACCAAGATTAGAACTTACGGAATCCCCAGCAAGTGATGCTCACAATCGGCATCCAACAGTCAAGCTGACAGAAACCCTAGCAAGAGACTACCAGCCTCCTCCAACACTAGAGGCAACAGAATTTCAAATAGTAATCCCCCACTCACCTCCAAGCACAAAAGATGGAGTCCAAACAAGCAACACCTCCGTCCTCCCAAACCAGAGATGATGGAAATTCTAACAAGCACCCCAGTCACTTCCAATTCTAGAAAAGATAGCAGCAGGCCCAGAAGGGACTCCTTCAGCTTCCCTGCAACAGTAGAGAATGGGGAGCCCAATCCCAGTGACCCACCCAGTCTATACCAACAAGACAGACAAAGGGAGTCCCAGAAAGTGACTAGGGATAAGTAGAGCCCTATCCTATCCTCAAAACTCACCCCAAACTAGAGAAAATAGGATCTCCATCTGGTGACCCCTCCCGCAGATCTCCAGACCAGAAACAACAGGAACCTCAGCCTCTGACCCCCCAGTTACCCCAATATCAGAGACCAGGGAAGCTTCAGCAAATGAGCTCTAGGACAAATTCTTAGAAAAATATAACTTGCCAAATGTGACTAGATTCACAGGGGGCACTGGAATGTTGGTGTTGGAGTCTTCCAAGTTTATCCAGGGCTTTGTTTCTGAATCTTTAAAGGATACATGCTGGGACAGCCCAAGGCAAGGGGTTTGTGCATGTGGCATCTTGCACCTGTGGGTCACTCTCTGGGGGGCAGGGGACAGTAGAAGAAACAAGGCTGGCACCTTTGTGTTCATGGCAACATTATTCACAATAGCCAAGATATCGAAACAACCTGTGTCCATTGATGGGTGAATGAACAACAAAAATGTGGTATAGATATAAACAGAATATTATTCAGCCGTAAAAAAGAGTGAGATCTTTCCATTCACAACAATATAGATGGGCCTTGAAGGAATTATGCTAAGTGAAGTAAGAGAAAAAGACAAATGCCATATGATTTCACTTATATGTGGAATCTAAAAACAAAAACAAAACTCAGTTCATAGATACAGAGAACAAATTGATGGTTGTCAGAGGCAGGAGGTGAAGGGGGTCAAAAGGTGCAAACTTCCAATTATAGAATATATAAGTCATGGGGATGTCATGTACAGCATGGTGACTATAGTTAATAATACTGTATTGTGTATTTGAAAGTTGCTAAGAAAGTAAATTTTTTAAATTCTCATGGCAAAAAAAGTAAGTATATATACTGATGGATTTTAACTACACTCCTTGTGATAATTTTGCAATATATACAAATATCAAATCATTATATTGTACACCTGAAACTAATATACTGTTACATGTCAATAATATCTCACTTTTAAAAAGAAAAGAAAAGAAAAACTAGGATCTATATTTTAAAAAAAGACTGACACAGGAGGATGCCTACCAGGAGAATCATGATGATGTCGATGCCGGTGATTCATATTATCTAACACTTAGCAAAGACATTCTATGTGCCACACATGAAATGACTCTTCATCTGCACAATACTGTAAATCAGGTCACTATGCTATTTTAATGGTTTTCTTTTGCTGTGTAACAAATTTAACGACTTAAAACCACATATTCATTTATTATCTCACAATTTCTGTAGGCCAGGAGTCTGCACATCATTTAGCTAGGTCTTGAGGGCTCTCAAGACTGCAATCAAGGTGTCTGCTGGCCACGTTCTCATGTGGAGGCTCGACTGGAGAAGAATATGCTTCCACACTCATTCATGTTATTGGCAAAGTTAATTTCCTTGTGGTTGTAAGACTTGTGATACCAGTTTTATACTGGCTGTTGGCTGGAGGCCACCCTCAGATCCTAGGAACCTCCACAGTTCCCTTCATGTGGCCCCCTTCATAGGCAGTTCACAATAGGATTGTCTGCTTTTCAACACCACCAGTAAAATCTCTCTCCAACCTGCTAACAGGAACTCTTATATAGTATTCCATAATCATGGGAGTGACATTCCATCATCTTCTTCATGTTCTATGAGTTAGAAACAAGTCACAGGGACGCCTGGGTGGCTCAGTTGGTGAAGCATCTGCCTTCAGCTCAGGTCATGATCCCAGGGTCCTGGGATCGAGTCCCACATCGGGCTCCCTGCTCAGCGGGGAGTCTGCTTCTCCCTCTGCCTGCCGCTCCCCCTGCTTGTGCTTGCTTGCTCTCTCTCTCTCTCTCTCTCTGACAAATAAATAAATAAAATATTTTAAAAATAGAGAGAGAAAAAGAAGTCACATACCCTGCCATACTCAGGGAGAAGGGATTATACAAAGTGGTGGACACCAGGAAGTGGGAATTATTGAGGGAGGGGGTCATCCTAAAGTGCATCCACCAACAGCTATTTTCCCCAACATGACAGGACAGAAAGGAAGATCAGTGATGTTCCTTTAACTCCCTGAAGCCCAGGTGTCACATCTGTGAAACACACGGTCGTCCTGAGCAGTTCACCATGTGAGGTTCATGAAATGACCCCATACACCATGGAACTCATTCCCCGAGGCTTGAAAATGCATATTTATAATAATAAAAATGCTAATAAAGCTACTTACCTGTATTGAGCTAATACCATTTACCAGGCTCAGTGCTTAATGCTTTTCCAGTCTTATCCAATTTAATCTCAGAATGACCCTGCAGTAGAAGTTCTGTAATTATCTTTTTCTAAAATTGAGGAAACTGAGGCTTAGGGAGGTTTAATGAGTTGTCTCAAACTGCCTGGTGAACAACCAGCCAACTGACAAATTTCTAACTTTGAAGTCTTGTTGTGAACCATTCCAGAGGAATACCCTTAACCATGGGAGCTTTGCCTGCTCCTTCCCCTATGGGTTACTGTTCAGCATTCTGTATTTCTCAGAGCAGCCCTATAGGGACTGTGCTCAGAAACCTCACAAGGTGGGGTATCTGACTCTTGGTTTCAGCTCAGGTCATGGTCACACGATCTTGAGATCAAGCCCCGCATCCAGCTGTGCACTCAGCATGGAGTCTCCTTCAGATTCTCTCTCCCTCCCACTCACCCTCTCTTTCTCTTTTCCTCTCTCAAATAAATAAATAAAATCTTTTAAAAAAGCAAAGAAACCTCAGCTCCTTGTTTCTCCTTAATGCTGGAATGCCAAATGTACCTGTAGGTCCATCAACCAGAACACAGTGAAACAAAGCAACTTGCTGTGTGACCTTTGAGAGTTCACTGTCCTCTCTGATTCATTTTCTAAAGCTGTCAATGAAAGCTTCCCTAATGTCTAACATCTTTGGTGTGGTAGATTGGGTTCCCTAAGGAAAAAACTCTGAGATCTGTTAGCCTGCCATCATCAGACAGATGAGTGAAACCATCCTGAATCATCCAGTCCAGCCAAGCCATTGGCTGACCCAAGAGGTTAGACACAGAAGCCTGGATTTAATTAAGTGCTGGCCTGGCTTATGGAATGGTGAGAAATAACAGCTGTTTGTTGTTTTAAGCCACTAAGTATTGGAGTGTTTGTTAACAGCAACAAATAGAGATAAGGGTTTGGTTTATTTACATGGGGGAGTTTTATCAGGGGTAACTTGGGATCAGCATCCATAAGGGAGGGAAGTGGGTCTGAGCAGAGGGGAAAATCACACTGCAGTGCATCTGCAACCAAAACCTTCCCTGATCCCACAGGGAGCACTCTAACTGTGGTGGTTCTTCAGAGTTGTCCCACATTCCACTGGCTTACTAGGGCTGCTGTACTGAAGGACCACGGGGGCCTTAAACAACAGAAATGTATTCTCCCACAGTTCTGGGGCTGGAAGTCCAAGATCAAGGTGTCAGCAGGGTTGGTTCTTTCTGAGGTTGTGAGGGAGAATCTGTCCCTTGCTTCTCTTCAAGGTCCTGGTGGTTCCCTGGAAATCTTTGGCTCCTTGTCCACACCTTGGCTTGCAGGTGTGTTGTCCCAGTTTCTGCCTTTGTCTTCGCATGGCATTCTCCCTGTGTGCCTGTGTCCAACTTTCCCCTTTTATAAGGACACCAGTCATATCAGATCAGGGGCCCATCCTACTCCAGCATGACTTCACCCTAACTAATTCCATCTACAGTGACCTTATTTCCAAGGAAAGTCACATTCTGAGATACTGGAGGTTAGGATTTGAACATATCTTTTTTTAGAGGGTTTGGGGGAGACACAATCAAACCCTTAACAGGCACAGGGGCCAGAGCTTCGTACCCCACATAAACCAGTCATCAGATGTGGCTGCCCTAAGGAAGGGAGCATAACTGTGGGCAAAGCAGCTCCCTTAAACCTAGGAGAGTGCTGGCAGAGGGACTCCGTTGTGAGCCCCCAGCAGACAACAGCCCCTGACAGCTGGAAGAGTGAGCATCTGGGTTCTGAAGAGGTGTTCTGGATGGTGCCCTACAGTGTCAACTACAGTGAATCCACCACAGCAACCACAGCAGTGTACTTGCCACAGCACCCACTACACCTACCACAGTGATAGATCTACCCACTAGATCTACTACAGCATCTACTGCAGTGGCAACCTGTGGTTCTGATTACAACAAGGGCTTCTAGAGGCGCTTGAGGTGTAAGACTCTGGGTGAGTCACGTTGAGGGCACAATCTCAGGCAGCACAGTCAGGCTTATGGGGTTGAAACCATGCCCCAAGAGATGCGTCAGCAGCATCCAAGAAGGTTAGAGACCAAGAGCTGGAAAGCGCGAACCTCATCACACAGAGTCCAGACCACCTGCTAACCATGTCAGCCCTTTTAAGAGTATCACATCCCTCTTCTGTGGAGTACTTTGGAGATACCAAAGCTTTCATGTGCTTCCTCTCACTTGTGCACTGTGCTGGTGACAACTGTCTCATCTGTGGTCATGCAGAGTCAGGGCCAGAGCTTGTACTTGTGGCTCCTAACCCTGAGCACTTCAACCACCCCCATCCCCACTCCAACCCAGAGCCCAGCCAGAGCTCCTCCTCTGGTTGCAAGACCGTGGCCTATAAAGCCCAGCCAAAGACCATGCTTCCTCAGCCTTGCCAGGTTCTCACCAAAGGCCAGGAGTCCTGGATGGATGGACAGATGGGTGAACAGATAGACAGATAGGTGGCTGAATGGATGAACAGGTGGGTGGATAAACGGATGGACAGGCAGATGGGTATACAAACACATGGATGGTTGAATGGATGGATGGATGGAAAGAGGGAAGGAAGGAAGGAAGGAGGAGGGAAGGGAGGGAGGAAAGAAGGGATGGAGGAAGGAAGGAGAGGCAGAAGGATGGCTTGACAGATGGATGGTTGGGCAAACATGGGCAGACCGATGGACAGACAAATGGACAGATGAATGGGTGAATGGATGGGTAAATGGGTGGATGAATGGACAGATGGATAGATGGATGGATAGATGGAGTGAGACTGTGACCAGAAGACCCACCCAGCCAACACACAGAACTGTGAGAAATAAATGCTTGCTGTTTTAAGCCACAAAGTCTTGAGGATGTTTGTTACACAGCAACAACTAACATATGAAGTCATGTGACTCATTCAAAGTCACACAGGGAGCTGAAGGCAGGAAGTCTATCTCCTTACCCACTACATTCTGTGTATAGCTCATGCAAGGCTGTTCAAAATCCTCTTCCAATCTGTAGTCCCCCACTGACCACCCACCTTGGGGTCAGGTCCATGCTGCCAGGATAACATTAAAAGTATTCAATATGTAAGTCTTCAGCATGGTGGAATGGAGTAAGATCCTGGAGATCCCCTCGTATTCCTGGAGTGAACCTCTCAGTGCTTGCATCATGGGAGGGTCTGGGGGTCTTTGGGGTATCAGTTACTTACCAACTGGTATGGAAATAGTTCAATATTTAAACCACCAGTTCAACTGTACAGGTATGTACCAGCAGATCATCAGCCCTGACTATAACAATATTTAACCTCCTGCTTCGTTTTTCTGAAGAACCCATAGGTTTGTTCCTTCTTAAAACAGATCCCCACAACTTCCAGATTTCCCTTAACACAGCCCACCCCATAGCCACAATCCCACACAGGTCACAGGTCCTCGCTCGAACACCACACAAAAACAAAGACTATTCTCAGATAATTTATTCAGAATTTTCATATAAACAGGTAATTATCCCATATTTTACATGCAGAGCAATTTCAATATTCCAAAAAAAAAAAAAAAAGCATATTCTGTACATGGCGCTACTTGGCTCTTGTAGGAAAACATTGAAAAAATAATTGAGCTTTTGGTGGGTTTTGTGTTTCTGAGTTGTTTTCTACATAAGCCGAGGTCCATTTGATCCTGTGCCTGCTGAAAACAGATGGGAAGTTTCTGCTGCTGACAGGCAGGGCCGAGACCGCCCCCAGGCACACAAAGTAGAAAGACTAAACAAGTCATTCCTGAATGTGTGCATAGACACACACTCATCTTGGAAGTTGTTCCTTCCTTCCCAAGGGGACCAAGAGCCTCAGATTCGTGATCTGGTTTTTAACAAGGACTTTTAGGGCCCATATCCAAATAAGAATTTGGCTAGAGGTTGGTTCTGGCCCTGACTGGTATAGATGACCATGAGCTCAAAAAGTCAATGTCTCCCTCTGCTTCTGGGGGATCCCTCAAGGAAACATTCACCTTCAGTTGTACCCCCTGAAAGTCTATCACATTCTTTCAAACACACGAATAAATCAGCATTTGTTCTTTCCACTGAAATCAATATTCTAAAGAACATTCTGGAAGGCTTTCTGAAGGGACACCATTCTATGTGCACCATTTATATACAATCAGCATTTCCCTGTTCCCTACCCCCAACAAAACCATAATTTCTGAAGAGCCTGAGGTGTCAAGGACTCACCAAGTGGTATCCAAAAGACATTTAACACCAAACTTCCACTCACCATGAAGTAGAAAAATGATTGTCCCTGGGACTACAACACATCCATCACCTACCCAGATGACTAGCATGGGCCATGCTCTGATGGCAATGCTGCCCACTGCCCACTGTTTTGACAGCTACAAATGAACACCTCCCAACCCAACAAGCACATTTTATGGCAGACTGTCTGCTCTGGTGGGATTTTGGAAGATTTGTTCATCAATTGGCAGCAGTCTCCAACGGTCACAGGATTGTATGTGCAGACCCTTGCATCAATTCCCACACTTTCTCCGTTGTGCTCAACATCTCTCCAAGAGAACCAGCAACATCTCTCCCTACTAGCTTGAAATAACAGGAAAGCACCAAGGATAGCTCCCAGAATACAGACATTTCCAGAAGTGTGTTTGACATCACTGGTCCTGGGAGAAAGTAATGTGCTTGCTATTCTCCTCCCGGAAGAAGAAACTACTATGTGGATTAGGCCACATTAATGAAAAGGGTTTTAATAATAATGAGACATCTTTAAAAGCAAACAACAAAAAGTGTCAACCTAAGCTGGCTTTGTTGCTTTTTTTATAGCCCATCACTACAAGCCCCCCAGTATAGCTCATCACTATAAACCCCCTCCTGAGGGCAACCATGACTTTCTAGGACCAAAGTTGTTAGAGTCAACTTTGTGTGATGAAAAAGGCTTGTGACCCAATGGCTGCTTGCTCTTCTTACCACAGTAGCAGAGACAACTGAAGTTAATAGGTGAAATCCCATTTGTGCAGGTGGGCCCAGCACTCCACTGTACCTCTTCAGGGTAAGCACAGAAGGGTGAGCCCGCAGGGGCAGTGTCTAAAAGTATAAGGGCGGTGAGGTTTGGCGAGTAGGACAACAGCCCTGCTGGCCCCTCCCAGACTTACAAATGGGTTCTCAAAGCCCCATAAGTTCAAACAGTATCGGTCTGAGGTCAACCAAACACAGGGGTCCAAGGTTTTGTTGCTAAAAAATACACTCAGCATGCTGGTGCATCTTGGATTGGAATTTTTCAACATTCCCCCTTTCCACTTAAGAGAATAGAAATGCTACATCGGGTGTTTGCATGTGAGGTGCCCACAAGTGCAATTTGTTTCACTCCCCAAAAGCATCCGGGCTTAAAAGGAGTAGGAACAAGCCATGGAGAGCCAAGGCACCTCGATGCTTACTTCAGGGGGATGCAGTGGGACAGTGGGGATGCTGGCTCTGCACTAAAGCCTCTCTTTGCACCAGCAAGAGATGGAGTAGCCTCTCCCCACCAAAGGAAGGCAGCTCAGGCCTGGGCACTCCACACATCAGATACATCATGATGGCCTGAAATTTAGTTCCTGTCTGGGAGCACGGTGACAATGGATGGAGGATCAAAACAAAGTGGAGGGGGATTGAATTCAGAGAAGATTATCAGCCAGAAAAAGGATCTATGCTCACACGAAAGCCACACTTTATCCCAACTCCCTCCCTCAAAATTCTTACTGGTCCCTGGCATTTGGAATCAGCTGATACAGATTTTCCCTGATTCAGATTGGATCCAGGCAGAATTCTGAAGTCTCAACGATGTCCATTATTGAACCACATCCTAATGATACACTGAGGTAGACTGTGCTGGAAAAAAAAAATCATTACCCCACATTCACCTGTTTATTTTTCTTTGATAAAAATTTACATGCACTCCATTTTTTACGAAAGTGATTTTTACAGTGATTTTTATATATTAAAATAAATAATTTTCCCCTAATATAAGAAAACCTTTCTGAATTAGAAAAATGTGAAAATTGTTGCTAGTGTCGTATATGGCCACTACAAATTTACTACGAAAAGAACAAAATACCTAGATCTATGTGTTCTTAATTTACGTACAGACCCTCTTATATGTACAAAATAAATGTGGCGAAAATAATTTCTGTACGCTTGTTCCTTGTACCCAATCATTGAGGCTCCCCAGAAATATTTCATGTGCTGTAATTTCTCAAATCATATAAATAAGATAGTAATAGGCAATTGGGATTTGTGTCTACCTGTGTTCTTAACCAAGAATTGAGAAGGTTCAGAGGTCACCATTGTCTCTATCCTGTTCTTAAGCCCACAACTTTTAAGAGGAGAAGGAAGCAATCAAAAACTCATGAGGAAATGCTCTCAGGGATAACCCGTGGGTGATGATTCTGATGAACTGAAGTAATGAGTTCACCATGTTCTTTATTTGAGCAGCTGTGATTCTTTCCCCAAAGGGAAGAAACTGGATTCATGCCCATTCAGAAGTTCTTGGTGGCGTGAAGGTCCTTAGCAGTTTCTCCTCCAGACTCTACTTTCTTGGGGACTGCAACATCATAAGCACCTGAGAGTTCTGCTCAGGCCCCACATCTGGCCCAGCTGAGGTCACTGGGCACAGAGCAGCTTCTGGGAGGTCAACTCTGAGGACAGTTGGATGCCCTGAGGGTGGAAGGGACCGACAGGTGCATCTAGCTTCATATTGCTTAGTGTTCTCAAAGTCCATCTGGGCTGTCACCCTTTGGGGTCTGATTTTGTTGTGGTATGTGCACACCCAGTTGAGGAAGCATGTGAGGTACACACAAGGAACCAACAGATCCAAGAGCCACAAGTGTGTCTGAAGGTGGGACTCAGCTCCAGGTGGCTATCAGCTTCCCCAAGCAGAAACCAAACCATCCACCAAACCCAATCGCCCACACCCTCAGCGTGGCCTCATCACGTCCAAAAGGGTCAGCAGCTAATGTGGCTTTATTCCCAGAAAAGTGGATGCCTTTAAGACCAAACAAATCAGCAACTGGTGCCTCGCTCCCCCTCTGCACACAGGCAGACCAACCCACAAGCCCTCCCCCAACCCCGGGAAACAGTTAATAACTTATGAGGCTGACGTTGGAGAGTTTTAAAAAATTAAATATGTTACAAATATATTCTCAAAACTCTTAATCATCTCAGTTCTTTTTTTTTTTTTTTTTTCTTTTTGTCTTTTTTTTTGTCCTAGCTTTGTTTGGTCTTGAAAAGATCCACTATCACTCCAAACTACTCCCTTGGCTCCTGGGAAACATTTTTCACCAAAGTTAAGGGAGAAAAGACTCCTGAGACTAGGCTTGGGGCAGAACAATCTGTGGAGGGCACAGTCTCCCAGTAAATAAGAAGGAAGGAGATGGGAGGATCAGGAGCTCAAGAAGAGCAGAACCTTCATGAGCCGACCCTCAAAGCGTCAACTCAGCATGAACGCTTTGCACACACACACACTGACCAGCCCTGTCTAGCCTGGACATATAGACACACACACACACGCGGAGACTCGTGAGCCACACACTGGGACTGCAGATCCTTATCAAAAGTATAAAAGCAGCAGCTATTGGTCAATTTGAGGAACTGATTTTGTGAAGAAAAAAAAAAAAATCCTTCAGCCTGGATGAGAAAAAAAAACCTTCCTGAAGCCCACTCCAGAAAGCCTGAAATTCTACTGGAACAGGGTTGGGTTTTTGTTTTGTTTTGTTTTTCTTTCTTTCAAACTTTTGTTCCACAGACAAGTTTTATGCTTTATACTGTAGCTCAGACACCAGGAAGAAAAAAAGAAGAAGAAGATTTGTAAAAACAGGTGCTTGCTCTCAATCTACTAGAAAAAAAATAGTAACATCCTGGCTTAAAACCGCAGTTGCCTACAAGGACAGCAGCTGAGGAAACCCCTTCTCCTCTAGGGTCACAGTTCAGTTCTCTGACAGCTCGTCAAATTGGCAGTCAGACACATGTGTTTTTAAGCCATAGATGAACATCAATGGATAGTAATGATCTCTGAGCTCCGTCTGACACTGGGGCAGATTCATAGGAGAATCCTGAGTTTTCTGGAGGCCTTCAAACCAGAGGAAAGCGAAGATGGGAACCACTCCCCAAAACAGGCGCTGTTAGGAAGGATTCGACCTCGGCAGAGTCAGGATCCGTCCGTTTTTCTTGCCCCCGTTCATGTGGGTGTAGGGGATATGCTCCTCGTAGTTCCGCTTTAGGCCCAGTGAGGACCCTCCATCCCGGCCCCCGGCCTCCTCCCTCTGAGAGTGTGAGGCCCGATCCAGGGGGACACTCTCCATGTCCTCGAACTCCATCTCCAGCTCCTCACTCTCAGGCGCCTTGTTCTCCTCGCTGTGGAAGAAGGAAACTTCTGGAAAGCTGGGGTGCAGGTCGTCCTTGAGCAGGTCGACGATCTCCAGGAAGGTGGGCCGCATCTTAGGATTGAACTGCCAGCACATTCGCATCAGGTCAGTGCTGCAGGACGGAGGGACATGTCAGGAATGTGTCCGGGGGCACCCGGCCGAGCAGTCCCCACCCAGCCCCCTCCAGGTGCCAACGTCAGACGGCGGCCACCAGCACTGGCAATGGTCAGGACAGAAATGGGATTTCTGGGGCGCCTGGGTGGCTCAGATGGTTAGGCGACTGCCTTCGGCTCAGGTCATGATCCCGGGGTCCCGGGATCGAGTCCCGCATCCGGCTCCCTGCTCGGCGGGAAGCCTGCTTGTCTCCCTC